AGCTCTGTGCCACCCGGCAGGGGGCACATGGGTAGAAGGCAGGCTTGGGGGTGTGAGTTCCATCCCAGAGGGGAAAAGAAGGCCGGTTTCATGCAGGAGGGGGAGTGGCAGGCAGTGCGAGGCCTGGGCCCTTGGGGTGGCCACCTTGGGCTCTCAGACCTGCTGCTAAGGCTGTCACACACTGAGCCCTGATTGGGGATCACAGGAGGGGCCTTAGCGGCCTTGAATTACAGGTAGCAAGGTTGGGTGACAGCTAGGAAGATGGGAACACTTCAGCTACAGAGGGAGCCTCCGGTCCCCTTTCCAGAACACCTTTGCATCCCAGCCGCCTTCCACCTTGGCCTTCTGCACTCCCCTTCCCGTCCTGGTGCCCCATTCCCCCAGCCCCCGCAGGCCTTGGGGTCTCAGCTCCTGCCCCAACCCCCAGATCATCATGGACTCCAGCATCTCGAAGCAGGCTCTGAGCGAGATCGAGACCAGGCATAGTGAGATCATCAAGCTGGAGAACAGCATCCGCGAGCTGCACGACATGTTCATGGACATGGCCATGCTGGTTGAGAGCCAGGTGGGTACCTGGGTCCCCATGCCCCCTTCCCCACCCATAGCAGCACCTGGGGCTGCGCTAACCCTGCCGTTTCTGCCCATCATGCTGCACTGCCGGGAGGGACTGAGTGCTCAGGTAACCAAGCATCTGCTGTGGAAAGCACCCCGCCCCCCCTGCAGGACCCTCTCTGCATGGCTCTGCTTGGCCCCCAGGACCCAGGCCCTGCATGGCCCCACCTACCTGCTCCCTGTCCTGTCTTAGCACCAGCTCTGTATCAGGTGCCACCGGGACTGGCTGCTTATCTAGGCCGGGGTATATAGCAGCAACCAGGACAGCTAGGGGCTTCTTCTGGGAGCAAACAGCTATTGGGGAAGAGCAAATGCACGTTCTCCCATGGTGCCAGGTGCTCGGGAGACATTAGGTGGCAGTGTGACTGATGGGCACTTGGAGTTGCAAGTCACCTGGAAGGCTTATTATAAATTTCCAGCTCCCCGTTCCAGAGGGTGCTAGGGCAGGCAGAGGCCCCCGGATGTACATATTTCATGAAGGTGACGCCAGTGCTTCCGGTCTGAGGGCCTCACTCTGGAGTGACTTGGTAACACTGACTGGGGTGGCACTTTGTGTGAAGTCAGGGGAAAACCCTTTTCAGCAGGAGCGTTTGTGCAGCTACCAGAAAAGGTGAAAGGAGCCGGTGGGAAGATGTCCCAGAGCGAGAGCTGGACTTAGGTCTGTGAGGAGGGAGGTCTGTGTGTGGGAGCACAGGGAGAGTTCAGAGCCGAGGCCCAGGTGGCGGCCAAGCAGATGAGGCCTGGTTGGGGGGAGGCCTCTGGGGGGTAAAGGGATTGGGGATTGAAGCCAGGGCCTTCGCACCGAGTGACATCCCAGGCCTTTTTTGAGACAAGTTCTCATTAAGTCACTAAGGTGTCCAGGCTGGGCTCAAACTTGGGATCTTCCTGCCTCAGCCAGCCTCCCAGAGTATGTGTATCACCACACCTAGTTTTTTTTGTTTTGGCACTGGGGATCGAACTCGGGACCTTGCGTTTGTGAGGCAGGCAGTGGAACCACTGAGCTAAATCCCTGGCTGTTTTTTTTAAGTGGTGAAAAAGAGTGTATTTCTAATTAGCCAGCTGGACTCAGTTTAGTTGATCCCAGTTTTGTTGGCAACGTCGAAAGCAACATAATGGGGAGCTAGCCAGATGGGAGTCATTTTCTCCCTGTCGGGGTTCATTGACCTCAAGGGCTTCTTTACCACCTGTTTGGTCTGGTGCTTGCGGCCTTGACACCCGCAATGAACACAAGTGTGTTGTTGTCATCTGTCATCTTTGTGGCCAGCTCTGTGGCCAGGGAGCTTGGTGCTCTTAGGGGTGCTCTCCCAAGGGTATCGGGCTGCCTCCAGAGCCGCAGTGCCTGGGCCTCTGGAATGTGGGTGATGTGTGGATCGTTTTGTGGCTGTGGACATCTTTTGGCCTCCTAAGTCTTTGTTTTCACTGGGCTTTGGGAGAGGCAGTAGTTTTCCTCCTGTGCTCTCCTGGTGGAAAGTCTGGAAGCTCTTGATTGTGTTTTGTTTTGTTTTGTAGTTTAGTTTAGGTTTTTGGGGGGGTTTTTTTGGCACCGGGGATCGAACTTGCGACCTTGTACTTGCAAGGCAGGCGCCATGCAGTTTAGTTTTGTGAGAGCAGGTCTCACTATGTAGTCCAGGCTGGCCTTGAACTCGATAAATTGCCCAGGGTGGGCTCAAAGTCAAAATCGTCCTGGCTCAGCCTCCCAAGTGCTGGGATTACAGGCGTGTGTCACCAGGCCCAGCTTGATTGAAGGGCTTTAAGCATGGGAAGCTGCTGCTGTGTCCTGGTGAGACCAAGACTGTTGGTGACAAGGACACTGTGAAGGCATCTGAACTGCAGGAGATCTGCTGTTGCTGAGGACTTGGGGGGCAGTGTCAGGCTCTGATTGGCCCCCGGGAAGACCATGGGACCCTGGGGCTGCCAAGGGATCTTAAGAAAGATGGAGTGGGAGGGCTCAGCATGGCCACCTCAAGAGTGACAGGCAGGGCAGGCTCCGACTCCAGGCCCCTGTCCTGCCTCCCTCCTCGCCTGGCACCAGGCACAGGGCTGAGCATTGTGTGCATGGTCCCCCCTTGGCTGCAACTGCATGGCCAGCTCCACCCCCAGGATGGCTGCTCTGGGGGAGCGGTGGGGGCTGTCCCTGAGCCCCGTACCCTCCACGCCCTGGCCAGGGCCTGCCCTGGGCACAGCTGGGCAGTGGCAGCCCAGCCACCTCACCTCCTGCCCCTTTCTCTGCCATCAGGGTGCTTCCCCGGGTCCCTGCCCGGCGCCCCTTCCCTACCCTGAGGAGGGAGCCCTCTGGAGCTCGGGCACCCCCGGCCCCACAGGGGGAGATGATTGACAGGATCGAGTACAACGTGGAGCACGCGGTGGACTATGTGGAGCGGGCCGTGTCTGACACCAAGAAGGCCGTCAAGTACCAGAGCAAGGCACGCCGGGTCAGTCGCCGGCTCAGCCCAAGCCGCACCCCAGCACCCACTAGAGCATGGAGTCTGTTACACAGCCCGCCCCTTCTGCCTGTGCCCCATCTGGAAGCTCTGACCAGAGCCTCCACTGCCAGGCTGTCACCTACCCACCCCCAGGCCCCAACGCCAGCCCTCAGTACCACCCCTCTCCAGCTGCCCACTGAGGCCTCTCCTTCTGCCCTCTTCCAGAAGAAAATCATGATCATCATCTGCTGTGTGATCCTGGGCATTGTCATCGCTTCTACCATCGGAGGCATCTTTGGATAGAGCCCCGCCTGCCACTCCTGTCCGGATGGCCACCCTGCGGAGGCCCCTGGCTGCGTTGCCCTCCCCACCCCTTCTGGCTCGGACACCCTCACTCCCACCTGCCCTGCTCCTCCCCCAGAGGCCCCATTCCCACCCTGCCCTGAGCCGTGTCGTGTGCATGATCTGTGACAGTGTGTGTCTGTACAGAGGCGGGAGGGAGCAGGGCTGGCAATGGGTCCCTGCAGGAAGGACGCGGGCTGTCCCGCCCTCTCACTTGGGTCCAGGCTGCTTCTGGACCCAGCCATGCCCCCACCTGCCCGGCCCACCCACCCTGACCCCTGGCCTCTCCAGCTGTTTCCCCAGTGCCGAGCCCCAAAGGGTGGGGACCAGCTGGCCACATGGTGCTGCTTTTCAGGTTGGGGACAGGTGGCCCCGAGGGACAACCCAGCACTAAGCCTCTATTCACCAACCACTGCCAGGAGGCTCCCTACCCTACCCTGGCAAAGCCAGCAGGTCCTGCCTCAGCCTTCCTCCCTGAAGCTTGAAGCCCCAGGAAGTACCCTCCGGGCTGCTGCCTATGCTGGAGCTGGAGGTAGAGCAGTTCTGTCCCCCACAGGCCTGTCAGGTTCAGAAGCCAGTGTTGCATGTTCGGGACAGCAGTCCCCTCTCTGGAAGTCACACGTCACTCAGGCCTGCAGTCTCATTCTGCCCTGCTGCCCCCATCAATGTGCCATGTGGTGTCAGGTGTCTCCGATGCAGTATTCAGCAGCCAGCCTTCCTGGCACCCAGGGACTGTGCCCCGCCCAAGCCCCCTCCCAGACGGGCAGGAGGTGCATGCAGGTGCATGGGGCAGGGGGCGGGGCCGTGTCTGTGCCCCACCCCCCCTTGGCTTCACTCCTGCCCAGGGACTGTGACCACTGTCCTTGCTGCCTTCGCCCTCCACCCCTCACCAAAGGTCTTGGTACAACCAGCTGCCCATTTTGTGAACTTTTTATGTAGAATAAACATTTGTATATGTCTGACCGTGCTGCTGTGGTCCTGGCACTGGGGAGTCCTACCTTGGTGCTGAGGGGAAGGGTCTCAGAGGCCAGGGACCCCACCCCCGCCATTCAGTAGACAACTGAATGTTCCCAGACTGCACCCCTGTCCCGTGAGGTGCCCAATGCTTGGACAAAAGGCCAGGCCTGCAGTCTGACACCCAGGGAGACCCCCCTCGGGGTGAGAGCCTTGGCCCTAAGCCCCCACTGCAGGTTTTGGCTGTTCAGTGCCGATGTCTGTCCTGCAGCACCAGGCCCAGACCTACTCTCCCCTCCTGTGCCAAAGCCTCCAGTGACACCAAGACCTCTCAGCAGCCTGGGGCACACTCCAGGGCAGGACCTGCCCTTCTGAGCACCCCCAGTGGGACAAGAGTGAGCCCCAGGGGCCAGAGTGTGGGCTGGGCCCCAGGCCAGTGACTGTCATAAACAGCATACCTGACCCCCAGCTGTGCCATAGAACATGGTTACACATAAGCCTCGGACCAAGGGAGCCACCCAAGCTCCGTACAGGTTAAAAAGGGTGCTTCCTCCACCTCATCCTTTCAACCCGCTTCCTGCCTGCACGTCACATGGTAGCCCCGCCAGAGGGACCCGAGACACTGGACCACAAGGACCACAGTGCTAACAGATGCCAGAGCCACACAAGTCCCACAGAAAGTGGTTTATTGCTTCCGTTTTAGAATAAAATAAGCTCTTAGAAACTTTAGAAAAACTATTCTTAGAACTGTAGAACTCTTCTAAACACTGTGTTGTCAGTCAATCCAGAAAACGTAGCGGAGGCTGGCACTGGGCTCAGAAGCGGGGCCTGCGCTTGCGGCCGGTGTACTGGGTGTCAGGCCGGACCTCCCTGTGAGGACAGGACGGGAAGGTCTGAGAGAGGAGCCGGGACCGGGCCCGCCACAGCCGCTGGGTCCCCAGTACTCACTTGCCCTGCCGCCTGCGGCGCTCCTTCTTCTCCAGCACCCACTCTCGGCTCTTCTTCACCACGCCCCGCCGCGCCAGCCTGTACGGGGCCCTGTGTCAAGACAAGGCTGCGATGACAGGATGGCTGCCAGGTGGTGACCCTTCAGCTCCCACACGGGGAGTGGTGAGCTTCCTCCCAAGACAGATGCACCGCCTTCCCTTCCATGCCAGTCCCTCTCTGGTCACCCCCTTCCTGTAATGTGCACTGGGGCCAGGGGAGCCCATGTAGAACGGGTGTGCAGCCCCTCGCTTGCGACATGCCCGGTGCACAGGCGTCCTACCTGTGGCAGCACCTACTGTGGGGCAAACTAAGCCAGGAGCAGGGCTCAAGGAGGCAGAGGCCCCACATGAGGCCCAGCTTGGGGCCTGGCGTGCCTGCTACAGCCCGAGTTCCCAGCCACCACGCATGTCTGAGGCAGGAAAACAAGGCTGTCCACTCATGGCAGCTCTGACGATGCTCCTCCAGGGCTGATCTCGGCCTCCAGCCCTGGCCGAGCAGCAATGGGATCCCCACAGCCCAAGGGGCAAGAGGCCCTGAGAAGAGAGGAAGCAGGGCTCCCACAAACTGCATCGCTACCCACCCAGCACAGTGCTCCCCACAGAGCTCGAGGGGTGCTGGCCACAGGAGTCCGTCAGCTCCTGCAGGCGCGGCCCTGAGTGCTCAGAAGCAGCCTCGTCCTTCACGGGCCGTAACTGCACGGAGGCCCAAGGGCTGCTCCGGGTGACCAGGACGAGCCCAGGGCAGCTGGTGTCTCCAGGAAGGGGCTGGGACCGGGAAGGACTGAAGGGGAAGAGAAACTCACAGTGGTGTGGACACCAGCAAGGACTCTGCTCCCTCCTAACACACTGAGACACCACCTAGACTTCAGGGTGTCTGGAGATGGTTCAAGGGGGGACTTGGGAGGGCACACGAGTAGGGGCAGAGGAGAGGAGGCCAGTGAATGGGGACAGGATGTGAGCCACTGAGAACAGGAAAAGGCATCACCAAGGTAAAGGGAGCAGGGGATGCTGGGGAGGGGCCCACACCAAGGTGCTAGGAGCAAAGGAGAGACGGGGACGGTGGCAAGCAGCACAGTGCACAAAGCCTTCAGGGGAACAGTCAGGGCAGGGGCAGCAAGGATGCAGGAATGCACAGATGAAATAAAGGGAGATAAAATGTAGACCAAGTCAGGTGTGGTGGGCCACACCTGTGATCCCAGCACTGAGAAGGCTGAGGCAAGAGGATCACTAAGAGTATGAGGCCAGCCCGGGCTGCATAGTGGGTTCAAGCCCAACCTGAACTATGTATCAAGACCATGTCTCACAAACTCAAAAAATGGAGACCAGAGCTCAATTAGGCTCAGACTTCAAATCGTGTTCTTAATTCACCTGTTTATTTCGAACTGTCTGGAATCTGATCAGCACAGGAGAAGCCCAATTACCCTCCCGGGGCACCGCCTCCCCACTTTCATCCACCCACTGGAGGATGAGGGAGATGAGCTGCAGGGCCCTGAACCCTGCCTCAGCACACTGCCAACCAGGCCGGTGCCAGACCTCTGTTGGATGGGGGGACAGACTTACCCCAGGCTACCGGAAGGACATGTGGCCCACAGATACCAGCGTGAGCACAAGAGGGGCCCTAAGACACAGAGGGAGTGAACCCTGTACTTCCTCCTCTCACTGGGAGTACAGACAGGCACCTCAGAGCACAAACATCTGCAGGAGCCCTGGGTCCTCAAGGGGGTGATGGGGAGGCTCAGAAATGACCGTGGAGGGCCAAGGGTCAGTGACATACGCCTGGAGTGGGCACAGGAGCACTCAGGATTTCCATCCTACACACATTTCCACCCACTTTTCTGCTTGCTGTGCGAAGTCACATCAAGCAGGACCAAGAACAAACCTCCCTCTTCCCTAGAAAGATGCTGTTCCTGACATCAGGGTCGCCAAGGCATCGCTCTGGCCAGGCACATATGTGGCGACCCGTAAACAAAAACATATGGTTTGGAGCAGTGAGAAGTGGGCACCGAAGGGAAAGGAACGCAACTGCAGATACTGGACAGAGAAGCAACAAGCTCTGATCTACATTTTAAGGAAAAGGAGAAGGAAAGGATAGTCTTGCTGCTGTGCAGAAAATAAACTGAAAAGAGACAAAGACTGCACCAGGGAGCCTCTCAGACAGCTACGCAGGGATGCAGTGAGGGCGGGGACAAGACAAGGCTCAGACTGGGGACATGCAGGACATGCAGGAGCTACTGACTGGGCAGTTGGCTGTGAGGAGGATGTCAGGCAGGATGCAGAGGCAACATAGCAAGTGAGGACCAAGAGCTCGGCTTGGTTTGAGATACCTGGGGCAAAGCCAGCTATGGACCTCAGGTGGCAGTGGGGAGATCAGGGATGGGGTTGGGATCAAAGGTGTGACATTTGGGAGGCCTGCCATCTGGGCGCACACCCATGGTCCCAGCACATGGGAGGGTGAGGCGAGAGGAGCCCAAATTCAACCTAGTGACTTCACGAGACTGTACTTCAAAATAAAAAATAAAGCTGGGCGCATTGGCACATGCCTGTAATCCTAGCACTTGGGAGGCTGAGGCAGGAGGACCGCCATGAGTTCAAGGCCAACCTGGGCAACTTAGTGAGTTCAAGGCCAATCTGCATAGCAAGACAATGTCTCAAAAAAACCCAAAATAAAGAAATAAAATAAAATGTTAAAAAGGCTAGGAATGTAGCCCAGTGTAAAGGCCCTGGGTTCAACCCTCAGTACCACAAAAAAAGAAAAAAAACATATTAGGGAATTGTCTTTCAGTTGGTATTTAAAGGAGTGGAGAAGAGCACACAGCGGGAGAGGCAGCAGCTCACGGAGAAGCAGCAGCCAGGGAGGTAGAGAGGGCCAGGAGCCGGGTAGAGGGCAAGAGAGGGAGTGTAAGGCGCATCTGCCATCTTGGACCATCCAACTGACGGGTAAGATTGGCCCAGCAGAGAAGGGAGGGAGAGCGAGAAGGGAGCAGACTTGGCAAGACGGAAGCTGCAGTGGGCTTGCCAAGGACAGTCTTTGAGGAGACTGAACTGAGTGAGTGGCAGGGAGGAAGCAAGTGGCGGTGGGCACGAGGACGCTGCTGCCTGGAAAGCCCGTCACAGGGAGTCCAGGAGCTGCTCTGGGCTTTGGCGAGAATCTCTGGGATACAGGGAGGGAAGCACAGAGGGATGGGTCCGGGACTCAGGTGCGCAGTGCAGCATGAGGGAGGAGCAGGTGTGGGCTCACAGCGCCGAGGTTCATTGTGCCACAATATCACCTCCAAAGTGGTTCCACCCGAGGCCCAGGGAAGCAGAGAGACACGCAAGCTGACCTGGCAGCACACAAGAGCAGTTTTACCTGTCCTTGGTGAACTTGGACTCTGTGGCCTCCTCTCCGTCCTCACCTTCGCTCAGCCCCTGCAGGAACCACAGTGGTCTGATCTCCCTGGCGCTCTTACCCGATCTGCCCAACCCAAAGGCTGTGCATCAGGCTGCAGCCCCTCCAACAGGCACCAGGTCCAGACCCATGAGGAGCTGATGGCCCCTTCTGGGCCTGCAGGGCAGGCTCTGCCCCCAGACCCAGATGAATCCAGCATGCGGGCTCTGAGCTCCTGGCTCAGCTGCCCTGACCACCAGCATCCCCCTGGCACTTTCCCAGGCCTGCACCCCAGGGTCCCTCACCTTGGGTAGAAAGGCCGAAGGCCCAGAGAATAGGCAGAGGTAGAACCTGGAACGATAGAACGTAGGGTGAGGCCCAGTTCATGAGGTCTTGCCCCCCACCTCCTGGCCAGCCCGGGCCACCCCAGGGCCCCGCCCTCACTTCTTGGCTTTGGCACTGTTGGGGTAATCCACCACCACACCGCCCGTGAAGCCAGCCCGCGTGGCCTGGGTTGTGATGAGCTCCAACTGTGGACAGAACGGCGGGTGTCAGGCTGGAGGTGCAAAACTGTCACCCTCACCCTCCTCCCCTCTGTACCCTGCCTGGTGACAGAAAATCTTAGTCCTCAAAAGCCACAGCAGAGTGTGGGCCACCCAGTCATGCACACCTCCCTCTGGGGAATTACAAAGCAAAGCAGTTCCCTTCAGCCTCACTTTCTAGCCCAGAGAGCCAGACCCCACCCAAACCTCCGGAAACGAATGGCCACCGACTGGGAGCCAGACAGTCATGTTATTGGTCAGGGACAGCGCATCAACTGTCTGGGTCTGTACTTCTTATTTCCCAACTCATCTTTCCTAACTCCTATCGCTGGTGTCCCTGACACCGGCCCCCCATTTATGTATCTGGGCACAGAAATGAGTAAATCCTATCATGCTATCTGTGACACCCTCTTATCTGTCAGACACCCCCCCAAGCCCCAGATACCAAACTCTTAGCATAGCAGGTCACCAAATGTGCCACCGTGGGTCCCAGGCCCTCTTTTCCACCCATCAGCATGAGCTTGTTCTGTCACCTCCCAGCACACAGCGCCTGCTGTGGGCCCCCCACTTCCTGTCCCCCAGCAGCCAAGGGCTCACCTGCTCTGAGTTCTCCGGGTACAGCTGCAGGACAGCCCGGGCCCCACGGACCTGCAAGGAACTCAAATGTCACCACTTCATGGATCTCCTGTGGAATCAGACTGGGACACTCTTCCTGCCTTTGCTCATTAAATCTTCACAGAGCTCCCATTACTCGAGGCACTGCTCTTAGGGGGGCGGACAGCGTCAGCATCCCTGAACTAACTGCTGGCACTCAGTTGTGGTGGAGGAGGCAACTAAGCACCAAAGAGAATGGCAAACTGCGAAGAGATGGAGCCCACTGGCAGGCTGTTAGGTTCCCTTGTGGTTCTAGGAGGCCTCTCTGAGAGACCACAAAGCACAGCCCTCAGTGGCTACTTGAACACATGAAGGAAGTGGATTTTGGGATTCAAGTGGATTGAGGTCTTCTGGGCCTGATGAGACATCAGTCCACTGAGCTCGGCCTTCAGTTCAGGCTCAGGGCCAGGAGAGAAATCACTGCAAGGTGGTCCTGCTACCCGATGTGGCCCCATGTGAGTGGCCTTGCCATCATGGGACCCTTCAACTTCCTCACTCAACTGCAGGGCAAGGGAGGGACAGGCAGCCAGCCCCAATGGGAAACAGATCTCATACTCACAAGAACAGAATACAGAGAAGAAAAAAAGCAGTACAGGCGCTTGGCAGGGATGTCAGACTTCTTGTTAGCATTACAGAGCCACTGCACAGCAGAAATGCTGAAAAGGAAGGGAGAGCTGATGTCAGGAGGGGTCCAATCCCTTCCCTTTCTCACCTCCTGCCTCTTTGGGACTCTGCCATCATCTACCAGGACCTTGTGTCCACAGCTCCCTCCTTGGGAAGTGCTGATCCTTCCTGGTGACCTCACAAGACCAGACCCATCAGGCTGTGCAGAGAAGCAGCATTCACCCTCTTCCTCCAGCAAGCACGGGGACCTCCGTGTGTCAAGGCCATTTCTGCCCACTGCCCTTCTTCCCTCTCCCAGCCACAGGATGCAAGCTTGACGGCCGCTCACTTGCTGCCTCCTAGGTGGGTCCTCCTACTGTACCTGAGAAGGGCCTGTGCCGGCCCCACATCCATCCTCCCTACTAATCCTGCCTCCCTGCCAAGAGCTCAGAGCCACAGAAGTCCACACTTCGGGCTCACGGGGCCACCTCTCCTGGCTTCTGCTTCTCCCCACTGCCTCAGCACCCACTGCCCTCCTGAAAATCTCAGCAGCCAGGCGTGGTGGCGCACGCCTGTAATCCCAGAACTCAGGAGGCTGATGCAGGAGGACTGCTATGAATTTGAGGCCAGCCTGGGCTACATAGTGAGTTCAAGGCCAGCCTGGACTACAAATCGAGACCCTGTCTCAAAAAAACAATCCCCCCCACCAAACAAAAAATTCCTCAGAAACCTCCTTGCTCTCTGAACTTCTGCCAGCAACAACCTTTCCAACACAGAGATCAGACCCTGTCACTCTCTACCTCCTCTCTGTCTACTGGAAAAAGCTCCAACTTTTTAGGACTCACTGAAAAGCCTCTGAGAACCAATCCTATACCATCTTATCTCCCATGACATCTCACACATATCCCTGTGAATTTCCAAACACCTTCCTGTGCCTCTGCTCACACTGTCCTGTCATGGAGCAGCCTATCCCTGATCACAGATGCCCCTGGGCCCTCTCATTCTCAGGAGGATCCTGTGGGTGCCGGCTGCCCTTCACAGCTCAGGGGGCCCATGTCGCCTAGCACACAGCGCGAGCCAGGCCTGGTGTTCAGCAGCCAGGCCTGTGTCTTAGAGGACCTCATAAACTATACATGAGCTGAGACCATTTAGAGCTAGACCACTGCTAGTGAGATTATAAGTTGGTTAAAAACCCTTTCGAAAACATGCACACAACCCTCTGAGCCAGCAATTCTACTTCTAGGTATATATGCAATTGAAATGAATGCATGTGGTATCAGGAGACATAAACAAGAAAGTCCACAGTAAAACAATTCAAACGCAGGGGCTAATGTTTTCCTTCCACACACTCCACAGCACCTTAGACAAGGTCTTAAATTAGAGCCAAAAAAGCCTGGCATACCACCTGTCAAAAACAGAAACGAGGGGCTGGGGATTTAGCTCAGTGGTTTCGCCGCCTGCTGCGCAAGCACAAGGCCCTGAGTTCGATCCCTGGTACCAAAAAAAAAACCAACCCATAAATGAGCTGGAGGTGCAGCTTAGCAGTAGCATGCTTACCATGCACAAGGCCCCAATCTCCAGCACACACACATGACTATTTACTCCTTTTTTTTTTGGTACTGGGAATCAAACTCAGGGCCTTGCACTTGCCAGGCATGCATTTCGCCACTGAGCTATATCCTTGGCCCATGACTATTTACTCTTAAAATTTATATTACTGGCCCTTGGTTTTGTTTTGTTTTGCAGCTTTGGAAACCTTGTCTAATCATCACCAAAACATAATAGCTACCTTTGAAATGCACCCCCATCTCAATCTTTTTCTACACATAAGAAAATCTTCAAATCTAAATATTTACTCCTCACCCAGATCCTCTCTCTCAACCTAGGATCACCCAAAGAGAGGTCCCTGACAAACCATTTTAACTTTCTCTTCTATTCCTGATCTCCACCCCCAGCAACAGAACACTACCCCAAATGTCAGACAGAACTCAGCCAGAATAAGAAAACTTCAGAGTCCTAACAGTAATTTCAGTCTTCAAAGATTGGTTATCAAAGTACAGTGCACATATTCAAAATATGACCCCAACAACCAAGTAAGGTTCTGAAGCCAAAGAAGAGAAGTGCCAGCCACTTCCACTAGAGCTGTTTGAAAAGCTGAAAACCAGACGGCTGCTGGGACCCACAAGATAGTGGCAGCTATCCCCCAAAAGGGCCACAGCAGGGGCCCCACAAGATGGTGGCTGGGCCCACAAAACACACTCAAAGGCCAAAACCCAGCTCTATTCCTAGCATACACAACGCAGAGATAGAATTCAGACCAGAGGCACCTGAACCTGACAGTGCAAACCGATTACACAAATAGATAGTTTTGGAATACAAAGGGAGAAAAAAATATTGGCGGGGGGCCTCCTCTGAACTTATAAATTTGAAAATCCCTGGGCTGGGGATTTAGCTCACTGGTTCCACCGCCTGCCTCGCAAGCACAAGGACCCGAGTTTGATGCCCAATACCAAAAAAAAGAAAATCCCAATCCTGTGTGACTTTGCCTGATGGCCAGGCTTGGAAAGCACTGGCCTACATGATTAAAAGCTGGAAGTAACAATTCTCACCTGATACAACCATCAAAGGAACTGGGTCTGAAAGGAATACCACGGCCCATGTCACCCAGAAGAAGGTCTCCCTCCGCCTCTCGATTCAAGGCAGCATCTACATTGGAGAAAGGACACAAAGCAAGCAGACGATAAATATGGTAGCTCATACTCATGAGGGTTGCTGACTCTGCTGACAAAATAGGACACACTCACCCAGCATGGCGGGGCTGATGTCCATGCCCACCCAATAGTGCCCTTCATCCGTGAGCTGATCTCCACTCAGCCCAGTACCACAGCTGGAAGACACAATCAGAGACTTAAAATGTTGAGGAGTAAACTCGCCACCACCACCACCGCCACCGAGAAGAGGGGATGCAGGCCCCAGGAGCTCACCCAATATCCAACAGGTAACAGGGCTGTCCCTCAGGCAGGCAAAGGAGCTCCAATGCTCGCTCAGTCATCTTGGTCTGGACATCAATCATCCTCGAGCTGGGAAGACAGAAACGCAAGTGAGTGGTGATGGAGGCCGGTTAATACCTCTCCCAGACCAAAAAGCCAAGAGAAGATGAAAGGACAGTCAAGCTGGACATAATCTTTCCCGATCCCTTTAATCCTTACTGAGATCAACAAACTCAACTACACCTATTTAAATGGGATCCCAAAATTCCACATATTACAGCAACTTGTTATTTCATTGTAACAGAAATTATAAGTAAAGCATTGTAAAGCTGATGTGAAGTCAATGAACCACTCAGATAAGGACCAACCCGTGACAACCTGCAACTCTACCAGGCTTCGATGCTTTACTACTTAGGGAAGTATTCTCTGAAACAATTATCCACCACAGTTACTCTCATATATAAGGACCAACAATAACCCACAAAACTTGTACCAGGCTGAGGATGCAGCTCAGTGATAGTGTGCCTAGCATATATCCATCCTTGGCACAAAAACCAAGCCCAAACAGAAAAAAACCTTTAATGGTGGTATCCATGAGAAATATAATGCAAGCCTTATGACTTTCAGGTAGCCAAAGTTAAAAAGAAATAGCTATACTGTAATTAAGTTTTCTTAACCTCATATACCAAAAAATACACTTAACCCAATATACCTGAAATATTACTTCAAAATACAATCAAAGCCAAAAGTTAGTCAGGTGTGGTGGCACACTGTACTCATTATGCTGAGAGGCTGAGGCAGGAGGACCACAGGTCCAAGCCCAGCCTGGGCAATTTAGTGAGACCCTGTCTCAAAATTTAAAAAGGGGTGGGTATGTAGCTCAGTGTGAAGACAGTTCAATACCCAGTAGCACATAAATAAAATATTATAAGACATTTTGCATTTCTCCATACAAAGCCCTCCACATTAGCTGCATTTCGATACATGTATATCTGGCCTTCCCAAGATCAAGAGAATAATGCACAATAGTTTTAAAAATGCCTAACACTGAGGTTTTGAAGCTAGAAGTCTCTATTTTACTCATAAAGACAACTGTGCTAGAAAGTTGTTTTTTCTTTTTTAGAAAGTTTTGACTCTGTCTTGGACACCAATTCAAACAGAAAGGAGACAATGCATATCTACAGAATTTTCTACTTAGTATATCAAAAAGGAAAGACCAAGCTTAGAAGATCGTGCTCCAGCCTTTACCTCTCATATGACTTCGTAGTTATACAAATAACTACCCTCTATAAAATTCAAAAAATACCATGGCAACAGTTGTAAAATTTAGTGAGACGATGTAAATGGGAACACAACAAGCCTTCCACGAATATTATTTCCCTCCCCACAATGGCAGTGACCCTTTATTCCTATCCTCGGCCTACTTCCTATTCTATCACATATTCACAACAAGCTGTCAGCTGGGAACGGTGGCACAGGTCTGTAATCCCAGCCTTTGGGAGGCTGAGGCAGCAGGATAGCAAATTCGAGCCTAACCTGGGCTACAATTTAGCGAGGCCCTGTTTCAAAATAAAAATTTTTAGAAAGGGGCTAGGATATAACTCAGAGCAAAAGCCGTCGGTTCAATCCCCAGCACTAAAAAAAAAAAAAAAAAGTCACGTGAGCCCGGGATTTAGCTCAGTGGTTCGTCGCCTGCCTCACAAGAGCAAGGACCCGAGTTCGATCCCCAGTACCAAAAAAAAAAAGTTGTCACTATTCTGAAAACGTCCCAGGTAAGGCAGGCACGGTCACACCCACTCTGACGCTGAGGTTACCGAGGCCCACAGAGTTCAATAGCTCAAAAGTGACTTTACCAGTGGCACAAACAGCACCAACCCAGATCTCTCCTCACCCCACCCCACAATCAAGGCAGCTTCCCGGCCCCGACCCAGACGCCGCGCGGTATCCAGGCTCCCCTCACTTGCGAACGTATTTCCGGGCTTCATTCTGGTCGTAAAACTGAGGAGAAAAGAAAGAGAAATAGCATGTAGGGGGAAGAAGCCAGACGCAGTGGCCATAGGAGAAAGGGATGTCCGCAGGTCCCCGCGTCACCAGTTCCGGAGGTCCGCCATGTTCGGGTCTCCGGCCGCGGCACGCCATCCTCAAGTCTCAGCAAGCTGCACGCCGGTGCAGGTGTCCAGGGCAGGCCGGCTTTTGCGTCATCAGAGCTGCGACCTCCTCGTAATACGCATGCTCCCACCCCGCCCCCACCCCGCCTTCCTTTATCTGATTGGACACACCGCTGCGTTCGCTGCACGACCCGCGACTCCCATTGGTCAGCTCATCTTGCACCGCCCACCTCCATTGGAAATGGCAGCAGCGCACCATCTGAGGTATCTGCGGCTTTTTCTGTGGAGTCTGTGGCAACCCGTGAGATGGCCACAAAGTTCGGCAGTGGGTCTGGCCTTAACAGCGAGGACTTATTCCCGGGGTGACGGCTCATACTCGCGCACGGCGCTCTATGACCTACTCGGCATCCCCTCCACAGCCACCCAGGCGCAAATAAAGGCGGCTTACTACCGTCAGTGCTTCCTTTACCACCCGGACCGCAACTCGGGGAACCCTGAGGCTGCCGAGCGCTTCACGCGCATCTCCCAGGCGTACCTGGTGCTGGGCAGTGCCACCCTCCGTCGCAAGTACGACCGCGGACTTCTCAGCGACGAGGACCTGCGGGGCCCCGGCGTCCGGCCCTCCACGAAGCCCGCAGGCGCCCCCGATCCGCCGCGCGCCCCGCCGGTCTCCTCTCGGGTCCGCGGCGCCGATCGGGCAGCCCCTGGTGCCGGCCGCACCATGTTCGACTTCGACGCCTTCTACCAGGCGCACTACGGGGAGCAGCTGCAGCGCGAGCGGCGCCTGCGGGCCCGGCGGGAGGCCCTGCGCAAGCTGCAGGAGGACCGGGCCAAGAAGGGCTTCAGCTGGGAGGAGACCCGCGACACCGTCATCTTGCTGCTGCTCCTCACCTTTGTCACCATCGGCCTTCGCATGTAGCGGAGAGGAGGGAAGGGAGCCTCCCCAGCCAGCCCCAGGAATATGGCCTCTTCTGTCCTCTGAACCGCTGGCCTTCAAAGCCTGTCTCCGCTGGGGTTCGAATGGACAGTGCCCTCCTGCCCTCCCACCCGCGCAGCCGATGAATGGCACATCCTTCCCCTTTGCTCCATAGGAGGCCCCAGGATGAAGTCCCAGAAGCCCTCGGGAGTCCTTTGGGTGCCTGCTTTTGTTGCCTTCGTGTTGTTGCCAACTTTCCAAACGCTTGCTCCGGCTTCGTTGTAAAGCCCTGAGCAAGCTTTGTCTCTCCTGCCCCACATTTATTCTGGAGATTCCTCTGTAACCGTGAAACGTGCAATATGGCCTGTGTTCGCTGCCAAAAGAAAAATTCAGAGGTTGTATGAAACTTGTCTTTCTGTGCGTTCCCCCAGGTCGCTGTAAGACTGAGCCAGGGTAAGAATTCGGGCTGTGGGAAGCTTGCCATTCCTCCAGGTATGCCCCACACCACTCTTCTGTTGGCGGCATTTGGCGGTGGGTAAACCAGGTCATCAAGTGTAAGGACTGCTCCTGTGTCCATGTTTATGGAGTGAGTGACCTTGGAGAAGTAATTCTGTCCCGTGACTGCGGAGGAAGAAGTCATTTGCTTTCTTGAGGTCTGTCATGGCGTATTACCCGTACTCCTAATCCACAGTGATTACAGCACCATGCTGCTAGGGCCAGGTTCATCTTGAGACAGAGAGCCAGTCACCTACGAGTCCCTCTACCACCTGTTGCTAACTATGCAGCCAGTCCCCTCTGAAATAGACTTGGAACTTGGGTCCTGGAATGTGGCCCTTTCTCCTGCCGAGTCCTTGAAACAGGGCTGCTGAGAGCTGTGGGAAACTGGGGGTTCAGAGAACCCAGGACTGCCCCAAGGACAGGACAGGAGGCTTGCTGGTCAGTGTGGAGACTGGATTTCTTATTCGGAGTTACGCGAAGGTTGTTTTTGGTTCTCATTCATGCTGAGCAGTTGGTCCACGTTGCTTGGTCAGAGCTGCAGTTGTTACGCAAGTCCCTTAACTCTACTCACCACTGATGGGGAGTGGGAGTGGGTCAGTTATGAGATTGCAGGTGCTGGTGTTCACACACTATAAAGCTGTAGAAGAAGAAAGCCCTTGCTGGAGATCTATGGCAAGGATGTGGGGCCAAGTGTGATGTCTAAACAGGAAGGTGTTTTGGTACATTAATATCAATTCCTACTCTTGACATTTTGTGTTAAGATTCTTGTATAAATTGGGATAAACCCAGATGGCTGTGATGGTGCACGTCTCTAATCCCAGCCTCGAGGCTGATTCAGGAGGATCCCAAATTCAGGGCCAGCCTGAGCAACTTAGCAAGATCTTGTCTCAAATTTTTAAAAATTAAAAGGGCTGGGAATGTAGCTTGGTGGAAGAGTGCTTGCCTAGCATGTGTGAGGCCTTGGTTTCAATCCCCAGTACTGAAGAAAAAAAAGGATAAACCCACAGCTAGTACAGCTTCATCTCTTAGAAACCATTCAGTTCTTTGTCACCTTAGAGGTGGGGTAAGCTCCTAGCCACAGGCTTTGCAGTGACTCGCCCATTAGTAGCAGCAAAGATTTATTTCAGCCCACTGTGGTTCAGACTTGCTTGCCTCGGTGAGCCTTCAGTTGTGGGGAAAGGAGATGGGTACTCTTTTGTTTTTTGTGGTTTTTTTGGTACTGGGGATATAACTCAGTCCTTGCGCTTGCAAGGCAGGCAGCGAAACCACTGAGCTAAATCCCCAGCCCAGGATGGGTACTTTTTAAAAGAACATTTAATGTTATTATGTTTCATATTTAGAAAACAAAGTCTAATGTTTTAAAAATATAAACCAGGGGAAGTGGAGCTTAATAAGATGTGCAGAAGTTAGTGATTTCTCAACCAAAAAAATGAAGCATCACTGAGTCCTTGGGGCAAGGGCCTATTGTTTTATCTAAAGGGGTTGGATTCTTTGTTGGGGTTTAAAAGCACCAGTGGTTCATCATAGCATGGGCCAGTTTATGTAGACATCTCAAGTTTGTTTCCTCTCAGTTGAGATCACAGCCAACAATGTTTCGTATTTCCCAAGAACCTGTAAGTACAAGAAATTTCCAGAAGTTTCAGACTTGAGGGGAGGGAGAGACAGTCAAAGCTAATTGAGTCTTCTAGAACATTCCATGCATCTCTAAGCAGGGTGGTCTATAAAGTTTATTAACCATCATCCAACACAAAGCCTCTCCTATGGACCAGAACTAGGGCTGCCCCACTCTGAGAGTGTCCATGACCACCTGCCTCAGGTCTTGCTTAGACCCCAGCTGAAGTTGGTGACCCTACTTCCTGCCCTCCCTAAAACTGAGTCTAGGGCCGGGTATTTAGCTCAGTGGTTCCACTGCCTGCCTTGAAAGCGCAAGAACCTGAGTTTGATCCCTGGTTCCGAAAAAAAATAGTCTAGGCCCTTCACGGCAAGGGAGAGATGTGGGAGGCTTTTTTAAAGACCCCCGATTGGTTCCCATGGTAACATTTTTCCCTACTTTCCACTTCCCAGATTGTCCAGGTCTTTCCTTTCCCTGTTAGCAGCTCTGGTGAGAAGACCCTGAACTAGGCCAAGCACATTAGCCCTGCCTTCTGAGGCTGTTCCCCAAGCCCTGGTAGTGGGAAGGCTCAGACTCTCAATCCGAGTCCTTTTTCTTCTTTGGTTACAAAGCAACCAAAGCAAAACTCCATGGAAATTTGGACCTGGAATGGCAGACGAGGGTAAGAGGACACAGCGTACCTGAGACTGCTCGGGAAGTGGGGAGGGGGTGCAGGTACCAAGACCAAGAGCAGCAGGTAGGGGTCCTAGCTGCGGAGGCTTAGCCTACCAGACAGGAATCAGAGGTGCACATCCCTTGCCATTGTGGTATTGTCAGCAGGACGTTGTTCCTCCTGAGCCAAACTTCGTTGTCCCCTCACAGCTCTTTATTGAATGCTAGGTAAAAACGACCTCCCCCAGTGTTGAGGGAGCAGGATGTCTTCCTGCTTGCTCTCTTCTGAGTTTCTGGCAGTCATTCAATAGGTGCACCCCTGGCCTCTGTCGTGGTCCCAGCGTGAGGCAGGACGATTGAGAATCGCCTTTCTCAGGCCAAGGAGTTGTCCACCGGGTCTTAAGTGACCCCAGAGGCCCTGAGAAGCACCGAGTGAGTGGGCACAACACTCCCTTTGGGGAGATGGGAGGGGCCTGTGTCTTGAGTCTTCAGGTTTCCTAGGTCACCAGACCTGGGAAAACAGGCTGAGGAGGGACACTGTAGAATCCAGGGCAGAGAAGAGTGGGTTCTGTCCTGGCCTTTGCACACTGTCATTTCATCGGTCCCGTGGTGAAGTCTCACGCTGCCACCTGCCTGCCTGTGAGCAAGATCACAGGAAAGACCTGCCTGGCCACCCTGCCCTGGTCACCCCTCAGACCTGGCTTGCCATCCAGGTGGAGCTGTGTGCAAAACAGCTGAGGGACCCTCTGTCAATAGCTTAAAGCTGTGATGAGCTTGGATTCTGGACCTTGTGACCTTGCAGACACCAGGAGCTCTCTGCCCTTGTCCCTGTCCCGAGGGCACAGTGTCACTGAGTCTCACATCACTCCACTGTCTCCTGACCTGCCCCAACCTGGGTTCCTGTCACTAGTCTTGAGGTGGGCAGCCCCTCCCCGCTCCTGCCTTTGTCCCTTCAGCAGTCACACACTTACCCCTGCCTGGGAGGGGACGGCAGTAGATACATGAAGGCCTGTTTCAGGGGGACCAAGAGCAGACAGATCAGTGCATAGTTCATGGGCCACAGCCCAACTCCAGTGTTTGACCTGCACAGTGTCCTAAAACAACTTTGTAACCAACATTGAAAACAAGAAGAGTGCAGAAAAATACAGATCAGTGGCTTCTCAAAAACTGGGAAAATCTGCCACCACCAAGATGGGGAAAGCTGAGCAACATCCACCCTAAAAATGAGACATTGCTCCCCAGTGGTGGCTCTTCCAACCAGCTGGAAGCAGTGACATGTGAAGGACCTTAACCCACACACTTGTGCCATTGTCCGGTAGTAGAAAAATATTTCTCTACCCCATGTCTATCAAGAATGAAAACCACCAAGGACGGTGCATTTCCCAGAAAATGGGGATGGAAGCATTTCTTTGTGGAAACTGCTTAGCACCTCTGTGTCACCTTCCTGGCCCCTGAGGCCATTTGAGTTGGCACATCCCTCCACTACCTAGAATGTGGACGTAAGAACCCACACTTCACACAGGCGGGCTAAGTGGAAATCCTCAAGGGGGCCAGTGGGGCAGTGCTGGGATGGAGGCCAGGCCCTTGCACAGGTTAGAAAGTGCTCTACCACTCAGCCCCAGCCCCAGCCCCTGAGTATAAATCTTATTTTCACTGTAGGGCAAGAAACATGTTTTGAGAGGCCTACAGCAAGGGCGAAGGCTTAGGCAAACCAGAGAAGTCCTTTGGTACCATAACGCCAGTTCCTCCAGCAGGCTTTTGTGTAAAATCCTTGTATAAATTGACATAACCCCACAGCAACATGTTCTGGAAATCCAACCAACTTGTTCTCTTGGAAACCATTTGGTTCTCTTGCCTTGGAGGTCAAGGGCAGGCTCTCAGGCAGGCTCTGCAAGGACCACACTGACTCAGGCCTGCTCAGCCCAGTGTGAGCCTTGATGGGTAAAATGAGGCACATTTCGTGTTGTTTCATACTTGGAAAACAAGGGGGGAAGTTTAGGAAAACATGAAGAAGCTCGTGATTCCCAAAAAAGAGGTGTATGTAAAACTTTATTGAGGGACAAAAACTGTTTTTAATCCAAAAGAGGTGGGGGTTTATTATTGGGGGATGATTTGGTTCAGGTTTGTAAAAGCACGAGTGGCCTGCTCTAGGACCTTTCCCATGGGCCCTGCATGTCCACCCTCAAGTTTGTCCTCTGTCACAGAGGATCATTGCCAAGATCCTTTCCTGGGGCCAAAGAACCTGGCATTAGGGAGGGCCCAGGCTGTCCAAAACCTTCCAGAACATTCCATGCACCTTCAAGCAAGGGCCTTTGGGAAGTTTTTCAGCCAACTCCAAGCCTTTCCCAAGCTCCCAGAACTAGGCCCACGCTGTCCCCACTGGCCTCAGATCTTTCTCAGGCTGGGCCAAACTCGGGGCCCAAGGCTTTGTGGAAGGTGAGGTGTGTGGGAGGCCTGAAGGACCCCATCTAGTTCCCAGTCTCTCTTGTCTGGGTCTTGCCTTTCTCCTCTTCTTACCTGCCTTGGGGTCCTGATTCCCTTCTGGATGCCACTGACCACATCATGGTAGTAGAGAAAAGCTCAGACAGGTCCAACTTTAGCCTCCTTTCTCCTCATGGTTACCAACTAACACCTGGAAGCTCGGACCAGGAAGGGGAGGCCTCTGTCATCTCAGAGGCCAGTGTGACACAGTCACACTGTGTCCCCTAGTGAGTCACCTGTGTCTAGGAGTCACCTAATATACTTCAGCCTCCAGCTACTCCAGTGCCAGCAATGAGGAGGGCAGGTGGACTCTCAGGTGAAGTGGACTCTCGGTGCTTTAGCTGTGCCATTGTAGGACAAGTTCGGCTTGAGGACTCCAAAGCTCACACAAACCAGTTCCTTCAGCTGCTGCCTAAGCCTCTAAAGATCCTGTCAGCAATCCCCAGGCTCTTCTCACACACTGAGACCACACTAGCCTGGTGGGCTGCTCCAGCCCCCTTGCAAATCTCCCTGTGCAGGAGGTTCCGTGCCTCTCTGCCAAACTTTGCTCCTCAAACCTGACCTAACCACATCCCGCTGGCCCTTCTTGCTCCACACTCATCAGCCACGCTGGCCACCGGGCAAGCCGAGGACAGAGCCTTCAGCCCTACAAACCCCTCCAGCGGGGGCTGGTCCAGAGGGGAAGCAGGTAGCATGGTGATCTGGTGACGCTGGGAAAGAAGGTGTGGACAGGTGAAGCCTTGGAGACAGGCAGTGGAGAATAGGCTTCTGGCCAGAGCACTGGGAGGTAAGATTTAGGGAAAGCCTTCGTGGGCCATAATCAGAGGAGGCTTCTCAGAAGAGGCAGCAGCGGTACAGGACCTGCAGGACAGCTGGCCAAGGAAGGAAGGGCCTTGGAAGAGTAGGAAGCCCAGGAGCTGTGGTGGAGGCTGGTGGAGGGGCAGAGAGGAGGCTGGCAGCATCACCCTCATCATCACATTTATTGACGGCCCCTAGGAAGCGGGGCTGGGGACAGAACATACAAAGACAAGGACCTGCCCTCAAAAAGGTTCCATTCTAAGGAGACAGGGACAGAAAAATTCAGAATGGTCTTTCCTGGGGATGCCCCACTCTCGCTTGTGCAGGTCAGATGCCCCCTGGCCTACCCTGCCCCAGGGGCCGGAGCAAGAGAGGGCCCCAGAGCAGGCCCAAGGCCATGGTGTCCCTGGCCCCACAGCTAAGGCCTGGTCGCCTGGCTCCTAGGGAGTGGCTCCAGAGCTGGGGGAAAGGTAGGTTCAGGACATGATGGACACTTCCTTCGGCCTTGGCATTGTGCGAGCCCAGTGGAGCAGCGGGTGCAACAGGCTCCCTGGGCAGAGCCCCCAGGGAAGCGGGCACCTTCCCAGGCCCCATGGTGAGTAAAGTTCTTGCATGAGGCTGGCCCATCGCCCTGGAGGCCCCAGCCAGGGAGACAACAAAGGCAGAGGTTCCTCAGTGCCAGGGCCCAACACCCTGCCCACCCACCCCCAGCCCTCTCAGGCCTCCTCCAGGTGACCTCCTCCCCTGCTCAACCTCCAGGGCCAGGGCCTGCCTGAGGCCAGGGGGAGGGGCCTGCCCCTCCCCCCACCCAGGCAGTGGGGGAGGAGGAGGAGCCTTGAATCAAGTTTGTCTGGGTCCCCCACTGGGGGGCCATACCCTGTATCCTACCGGTGGGGGGGCTCTGGCTGAGAGGGCCGGGGGCTCAGCAGAGGTGCTGGGCCGAGGGGGCACCCGGGGGAGCCCTTCAGTGGGGGCACTGGGCGGGAGTCCAAGGGGGGCAGGCTCCGGGGCACGGCGGGTGGCCCCCGGGCAGCCCCAGTGGGCAGGACAGCTGCAGCTGGGAAGGGTTTGGGGGCATCGGTGGCAGCAGTGGGGGCTGGCTGGGTGGAGCGCTCCCTGCGCCGTAACAGCTCCTGCAGTTTCTCAGCCTGGGTCCGCCTCAGGTGGGCCAGTGCCCGGCCTCGCTGGAAGGCGGGCAGGAAGGCCTCCAGGCTCTGCTCGCCCAGCAGCAGCTGCTCCATGTGCTCCTAGGTGGGCAGGAGGGGGATGAATGTGGCAGGAGGCGACCAGAGACCCCCCCACACCTGAATCCCCACCTGCGTGACCACCTGTGGCCCTGAGATTCAGCTTGGCCTGCCCTGCTTGGCTGAGCAATCATGGGCCGCTGTCCTTCTTACTTACAGAGTGAGGGCACCGTCACCAGACCTGCTGGGTCAGAGAGCAGGGCCCAAAGTGGGACAGACAAGAGTCTCATCAAGACGCCCAAATGCGGCCTGGGTCCCCTCTTCCCCGACCCCTTCAACACACGGGGAACTGCACCCCCAACCCAGCACAGGGGAGGAGTGGGCCTCGGAGCCTCTGCAGGCCAGCCTCTGCCACCCTGGGACAGTCAGGGAGTCATGGTAGGGACCGTATGCCCTGCTGTCTAGGGCTGACCGGAAGTGTGGACAGCCATGCCCAGCTCTCAGTGGGGTCCCCGGAGGAAGGAGCTCCCAGCCACCATGCAGTGAGCCCTGAAGAGGGACAGGATGGGTCTCCCTTCCAGTGCCCAGGCCCAGCCACCTCTCCCCTCACCTCAGCCTCCTGCTCAGCCTCCTCCAGCTCAGCCTGCAGCCAGCCCAGCGCACAGTGGGGACTCCAGCGATGCATGGTGTCCTCTACGGCCACAGAGAGACAGAGTGACAGGCAGAACAGCCAAGCAGCTCTGACTCTGTGTGGGATTCTACACTTCCCTTCCCTTCTCTGGAGCCTCAGTTTCCCCATCTATACGAGGCCCGTGGGACCAGTTTGTGGTCTCCCCTCCAACAGTTGCAGACGAGAAAGCAGGACCTTTGACTCCTAGAGCACCCCAGGGGGATGCCTGAGTATCAGGCCCCCTTTCTCCCACTGCCCAGGGGCCCCTATGACCTCTCCACCCAACTCTCTCACCCACCACGCTCCTTCCCACACCATTTTCCAGGAGTGACACCCCTCAAGTCTGCCCAGGAGCAGGTTTGCCCCATCCCCGCTTCAGTCTGGCATTTGCTAAGGCCAACTGCACTCCAGCCCAGAGGGTGTCCCCAATGTCCCTTACCCAGTCGCTGTAGCTTGTCCGCGCAGTTCTCGGCCACCTCTCGGAGCTCCTGGTACTTGATGGCCAGGGCAGCCCGGCCCATCTCCAGGCGGGGCCGCAGTGCCAGGTTCTCCTTGGCCAGCGCGTAGTTGGAGGCCAGGCATGCCTCTCGCTCCAGCTGCAGGCCCTGGAACTGGGGCAGAGGAGTGCTCAGGGGGCCTTATCCTGGCTCAACTCACTGCCACCTGGGGTGCTGGTGCCACCCTGGGCAATGGTGTCCACTTGCCGAGCCAAAGACACCTGCAAGGGCCCTACCCTCAGGGTGGTGGGGCCAACAGGTGGAGGGACTGCTGTTGGGCAGGACCAAGTTTTGCCCTGAGCTCCCTCTCCGTCCGTCCTCAGTTTCCTCTTCTACAATGTGAGTTAAAAAACCACCTACCTTACAGGGTTGTTGCAAGACTTAAGTGAGCAAAACTATAAAGGCATCTACCAATGTTAGTTAATTTTTAATTTTTCAATTAATATGTCTGCTCAGGTCCCCAAGGAGTCCCCTCCCTCTGCTCTATTTTCCATGCATGGGCAGCTTTCCCTCTCGTTCCAGGCCTTTGTCTGCTTCCTCCTCAGGTGTGTGTGCCTGGAACCCTCCCACCAGCCCCCTCTGACTCTCCAGAGTGCTGTCTGTACCCCTGTCCCTTCCTGGCACCCCCTCAGGTGGCCCTGTCTTCCCTCCAAACCCCCTTCTCTGCCCTCCAGTGGAATCCCACACCCCCGCCAATACACACCCCCTTTTCCTCCCTGGGCTCCAGCACCTGCTTCCTCCTTTCCTCCTCTTGCAGGAGGCAGCCCTGGCCCCCCACAAGCCTGCCCCCCTGTTTCTGGAGGGCCGAGCCTCGCTCCTGCCCCGACTGGGCGCTCCCCTCCATCTGTCCGCTGTCGGCTGCTCCTGCCCCTCCTCATCCGCCTCCCTCCCACACACACTTTCCCCTCTGCCCCCCAAGACGCCCAGCCCTGGCCTATCTCCCGCGGAAGAGCAACTTTCTCTATGGTGGCCTACGGGGCACAGCTCCCCTCCCGGCGGCGGGCACAAAGCCCCCCTGCGCCCCAGAATGCGCAGATGCTCCCCTCGGCCCCCCAGGTGTCAAGCAGGCCCCTAGTTCTCCCCGCGGAAGCCGCCTCCCCTTTCTGGCCCCGCGAACGTGGGTGTGCAGCCAGGGCCCCCGACACCCGGCCGCCACCGGGCCCGGAACACACCTCCTCCGGGGCACCGCGGGGACACGCCTCGCGGCCACCCAGGGTGCGCGGCACCCCGGCCCCTCCCGGCCGCCCGGCCCCTTCCCGGGCTCGGTGGGCCCGCTCGGCAGCCGCCTGGCGCCCCTCGCGGCTCGGCCCGTCCCGCAGGCCGCGGCCCGGCCCGCGCCCCCCGCGCCCCCCGCGCTACCTTCCTGCTGAGCCGCACGATCCGGTCCAGCTTGGGCTCATCCTGAAGCAGGTCCCGCAGCTGCCCGGTGCTGAGGATCCCAAAGCGCCCCGGGCTGCCGGGCTCCGGCCCCGCCCGCGCCGCCCGGGCCCGGTACATGCCGCCCGCCCGCGCCCCCAGCTCGGCTGCTGGCTCGGCCCGCTCGGCCCCGCTCCGCCCGGCTCCGCTCCGCTCCGGGATCCGGGATCCGGCTCCGGGATCGGGCCGCGCGCGCGCGCCGCTCCGCCGCCAGGGGGCGCCCCTCCCGCTCTTAAAGGGGCCGCGGCGCCGGGGCTGGGGGGTGGGGCGGGAGGGGGCGGGCCGCACCCCGCGGCGTCCGGGGCTCCTCGCGCACAGCGAGGTCTCCGGGAAACCTATCCGCCCTGAAATCCTAGGCTGCCTCTCTCTGCTCCCCTTCACCGGGCACAGTTCACCACGCCCCGAGGCCTGGACTCTCCTCCCACCGCCAGACGTCTGTAACGTGAGGGTTATTTCACGTTTCTCCATTCGGATTTGCACTATTTTCTGAGTTTGGCTGGGCGCCGCGTGCTAAGTTGCACAAGTCTCTCATCTTCCCCAAGCCTCACTTTTCTCGTCTGTGAAATGGGATAATCACACACCTGGTGCGCACTGGGAATGTTGCCACGCCCATCGTCCCAGAACAAGGGAGGCTGAGACAGGAGGATTTCGAGTTCAAGGCCAGCCGGGGAGAGGTAGCAAGGCCCCCTCTAAGATCTAAGGCTGGGAGGACCTTGAGTGCCTGACGGTAGGGTTTCTGTTATTTTAGAGAGGAGGAAACATCGCGGAGATGACGTCACCTCGAAGCCACATTACAGGTAAATGAAAGGTGTCCCAGTTCTTTGCTTTGTGCCCTCACAGAGCCCACTGCCTCTCTGTGCAGGGCCCTGAGCCAGGCGGGGTGGCGACACTGTCCCTGCCCTGAGGGAGCTCACTGATTAAGGCAGAGTCCGTCCTGTTCCGCTAACGCTAGGACAAGGCAGATTGGCAGGAGTCACCGCATGATGGCTTCCAGTCCCGTGTGACACCAGATATGTACCCCATCTTTACACCTAGGTTGGCCATTGCCGCTGTCCCCACCGCAGGAAGCAGACACTGAGATCAAGTTGCTTGTGTGACATCAAAGAGCAATGAGTGACCTTGTTCTCTGGACCACATTACTAGGAAAGCACCGAGGTGGGACCGGGATAATCAGAAAGGCTTCCCGGAGGAGGTGACTTTAATTCGGGTTTCAATGACTGAATAGGAGTTCTGAAATTTAAGGAGTAAATAATGGAACCAAAGAGAAGTCCATAAACCAAAGCATAAGGGGCTAGAAGAGCCCAGCAAGGACTTTCCCAGTCCATCCGGAGCACCCAGGTGGGCATCGTGCCGCTATTTGACAGAAGAGGCCAGACAGGCAGTCAGACTGTGAAAGTAAACTTTGTCCACATTTTTGTGATGACTGATTTTTTTCCAGTACTGGATACTGAACCCAGGGCCTTTGCACTAACCTACACTCTAGCCCTTTATTTTTTATTTCAAGATAATGTCTCACCTAGTTGCCCAGGCTGAAGAAGTTGCTGCCACTCCCTACCCCACCTCTTGGGATGCTCTTCCCACTGCCCAGCGCCTGCTTCCCTCCCTTCCCTCCAGGAAGGCCAGCCTACCGGGGTGGCCCTGCCCAGGGCTGTCCTCCACCCTGCTCACCATCAGGCCTTCTCTGTCTCTCTCTGGCTCTTTTATCTTCATTTTCTGTGTATGGACTGACACCTCCTTTTTTGCCTGCCCCCCATATTTTTAAAGTACCCTAGACACTACTTCCTTTGTCCGTTTCCTTACCACCCCCTATTCTTGCTTCAGTCTCAATTCACCTCCCTCCTACCACTTCAAGGACATGTCTCTAGCCAAGGTTTTAGATCACTTTCCTTTTTCTTTTTTCCTTTTTCTGTACTTGGGATTGAACCCAGGGTCTTTGCACTAAGCTACTTCCCCATCCCTTTTTATTAAAATTTGAGACAGAGTCTCCCCAAGTTCCCTAGGCTGGGTTAGAATTTACAATCTTCCTCCCTCTGCTTCCCAGAATGCTGGGATTTCAGGTGTGTGTCACCAGGCCTGGCTTCATCAACAACTTTCTGACTGCCAGGGGCCCCTCCTTTCCACATTCCACACCACTGGTTACCCCTCTCTTTTGGCTGCATAGCCACCAGAGCCTAGGCATTTCATAACTATCAGGTTGGCAAACATTAAAAAGTCAGATAACACCAAGTGTTGGTGAGGATGGGGGTTGCACTATCCACTCACTTTGGAAAGCAGTTTGACAATTGAGTGATTCAAAGATGCTCCCTCACCTCCCTCCTTAGTCATTCTCCTCTGTAGTAGAGTAGCACCCCCAGCACAAAAGAAACACATCCTGGCCCCTGGGACCTGTGACTATGTGACCATGCATGGCAGAAGGGACTTTGCAGGTGCCATTAAGGATCTTGAAGTGGAGAGAGATGATCTTGGGTCACCCAGGAAGGGTCTGATGTTGTCACAGGTGTCCTTAGAAGGAGGGACAGAGTCAGAGAAGGTGAAAGGACAATGGAAGTAGAAGATCAGTCAGGAAGAGATTTCAACATGCTAGATTATTGGCTTTTGTTTACGTTTTGGAGCAGGGTTAAGACAGAGTCTCACTATGTACCACAGGCCAGCCTCAAAATCAAGACCCTCCTGCCTCAGCCATGCCCAGCACATTGCTGGTTTTGATGCTGGTTCTTAGCAACAGTACTGGTAGTGGCAAAAATAAAAACAGAAAAAAAGCCAAAGGTACAAAACAGGGGAAATGCAAAGAAACTGCTGTCTCTGTACAGTGGAGAATTTGGTACCACACAGCAACGAAATGAGCAGACTGCAGCCGTATGTATGAATCTGGATGAATCTCACAAACACTGAGTGAAGAAAGGAATCTCAGAGCCTCCTTCAGTGGTGCATGCCTCTAATCCCAGACACTCTGGAGGCTGAGGCAGGAGAATTGTAAGGTCAAAGCCAGTGTGGGGAATTTAGCAAGACCTTGTCTCAAAATTTTAAAAAAGAGGGCCAAGGATTTAGCTCAGTTATTCTGCCGCCTGCCTCACAAGGACAAGGTCCTGAGTTTGATCCCCGGTACCAAAAAAATTTTAAAAAGAAAAAAAGGGAAGGGGCTGGGAATGTAGCTCTGGGCCAAGTCCTGGGGTCAATCCCTACCACTATATAGAGGTGAAAATAAAAAATTAGGGAGAAACAAGTCCTCAGAAAAATACATTTGGTAGGATACTACAGTTTTTTGTTTTGTTTTGGGGGTTTTTTTTGGTACCGGGGATTGAACTGCAGACCTTGCACTTGCGTGGCAGGTGCTGGAACCACTGAGCTAAATCCCCGGCCCTGGTTTTTTGTTTTGTTTTGCTTTGCTTTTTGTGTTTTGTTTTGTTTTTGCAGTACTGGGGATTGAGCTAGGCCATTTTTAATATTTATTTTTGAGACAGGGTCTCGTTAAGTTGCTAAGTTTGTCAAGCTGAGCACAAATTTATGATCCTCCTGCCTCTGCCTCCCACAATCCTGGGATTACAGGTGTGCACCACCACAACTGGCTCTACTGTTTCTATAAAGAAAAAAAACAGGCAAAATGATATATTGCTTGAAGATAAATATAGAGTGAAAATGTGGGAACAATAAACATGGAGTTCAAGGCTGGCTGCCAGGCAGAAAAGTATAGAATTGCGGTGGAGATGCTGAAGACTTTGGTGGCAAGGATGGTTTGATCTCATAAACTGGGCAAAGGCACAGAGGTGTACACTGTATTGCCCTTTCTGCTTTTTGGTATGTCTGAGACTTTGTGAAAAACTAAAAATTTTGAGAGTCTAAGTTGAGAACTTAGTTTTGGAGTCAGAGAGTCTTGGGTCCCCTTCTGTGCTCCACCACTTCCTGAGTTGATTCAAAAGTAAAATGTTCAATTCCTAAGGCCAGGGATTTAGCTCAGTGGCACTGCACCTGCCTCGAAAGTTTGCAAGGTCCTGAGTTCAATCCCTGGTACCACCAAAAAAAAAAAAGTTCAATTCCTGCAGCCTCAACTCTGTCCACCACCTGTAAAAGGGTGGGTGAAGGATTGGAGGAGTGGGCTGGGCATGGTGACACTCACCTGTGATCCCAGCACTTGGGAGGCTGAGGCAAGAGGATTGCTGTGAATTTGAGGCCAGCCTGGACTGCATAGTGAGTCCCCAACTCAAAAAAACAAAAAACAAAGAAAAATTTAAAAAGGATTATAGTACAGGTTTTAAACAGCAGCTGAAAAGGGTTTCTCTCTGGAAAGTCCCTGGATTTTAGTTAGTAGAGTGTCTGCCCTGTAGGATTTTCAGGGCTCAGTGTGTGAAGGGGACACTTCATTCTCATGGTTTGGCTGCCTGGTTCCATCTCTAAACGTGTTGCTTTCTAACCTTCAGTCCCTTGAAAATGCTTTATTGAGATATAATTCAATCAGCTCAACAACTTAAATTGTACAAATAAAAAATAAATTGTACAAATCAATGGTTTATTTTGTATATTTACGGAGTGGTATATCTAGCGGCACAGTCAATTTTAGAACATTTTGTCACCCAAAAAAGACCCTGTACCATTAGCAGCCGCTCCCCAACTCCTGCCCAGTCCTGCCTGCTCCCTCCTCCCCATAACCCCTAAGCTACTTTCTTTCTCTGAAGATTTGCCTACTGGACATTTCACATAAACAGAATTATATGATATATGGGTGCTGTGACTGTCTCCTTGTCAGTTAGCACAATGTTTTAGAAAATTCATTCATATTGCACCAGATAGCATATGGTTACCCTTTCCTTTCCTTTCTTTTCTTCATGGTACTGGGGCATTGAACCCAGGGCCTTTGCACTGAGCTACGTCTCAATCTTTTATTTTTTTTGAGGCAGAGTCTCACTAAGTCACTAAATTGCCCAGGCTAGGCTCAAACTTGCCATTCTCCTGCCTCAGCCTTCCAGAGAGCTAGGATTATAGCCATACACCACCACTCTTGGCTCACATGCCCTTTTTTAAAATCTGAGCCTCCGGTACACAAAAATAATTATTCCCAACTCATGTATGTGTGTGTATTTTTAAAATACAGCCTCACCTTTGGTCCATACGCCCTTACTTCCATTTATTTGTGTATTTATTAATTCACAGTAAGCACAAGTGAGTCCATTACATAACCCTACAATGGAAACCCCAACAGTAATTTACATAATCAGATGCCCCTTCCCAAGCCTGCTTTCCACCCAAAGTAACCACAATTCTGCATCTGGGGTTTGTTATTCCCCTGCTTTTAAAAATAGCTTTATTGTCAGGAGTGGTGGCACATACTTGTAATTCCAGTACTTGGGAGGCTGAAGCAGGAGGGTCCCCATGAGTTCAAGGGCAGCCTGGGCTACATAGCAAGACCCTGTCTCAAAAAATATATATATATTGGGGCTAGAGATTTAGCTCAGTGGTTTCAGCACCTGCCTCACAAGCACAAGGTCCCGAGTTCCATCCCTGAACTCAGGGATCAATATTGCTTTTTTTTTGGTACCAGGATCTGTGCTTGTACCAGGATCTGATCAGTGCTGGAACCACTGAGCTAAATCCCCAGGCCAAATATATATATTTGGCTTTATTGAGCTCCAATGAACTACACATATTTAAAGCGTACACTCTGATGAGCTTTGGCGTAGTTATGCTCCCATGAAATCATTACCAAATCAAGGCATGAACATGTCCATCACTCCCCAAATTTCCTGTGTGTCCCTTTGCCATCCCCCCTCCTGTCCCTTCCCTCACCCTTGAACTCCAGCCTCAGATATCATCCCTATCTGCTCTCCGTCACTACAGGTCACTCTCCATTTTTGAGAATTTTGCCTAAAGGGGATCATACAGGGTATTCAACTCAAACACTTTCTCTGGGCTGGGAACTTTCAAAATCCTATTAGCTATTTTGAAATGTACGATTAATTGCTGTCCCCATAGTTACCCTGCTGTGTAATAGAACACTAGAAATTATTCCTCCTATCTACACCAGTTAAACATTCTCTCTTCACCGTGCCCCCCCCGACTCTGAGAACCACTATTCTCGCTACTTTTTTTGAGACAGGGTAGTTCAGGTTGGCCATAAACTTACTGTGTAACCCAGGCTGGCCTTGAACTCGTGGCAATCCTTCTGCCTCAGGCTCCTCAGTGCTGGGATTTAGGTGTGTACCACGACATCCAGCTCTACTTACTACTTCTGTGAGATTAACTTTTAGGTTCCACATGTAACTGAGCACTTTCAATATTTGGGGAGTGTGTGTGTGTGTGTGTGTGTGTGTGTGTGTTTGTGTGTGTGTGTGTTACTAGGGATTGAACCCAGGGCCTTCACAATGAACTATATCCTCAGTCCTTTTTTTTTGTGGTTATCTTGAGACAAGATCTTGCTAAGTCATTAAATTGTCCAGGCTGGACTCAAACTTGTGATTCTCTTGCTT